TTTGTGTGTAAAATTTTTTTAAAGTTGTTTTATTGTACACACTATAATGTAAGAAAATTTATTGCTCATTTTGACAATACCTTAACAGCCATAATTGTGCCACTCTGTTTGTGTCGCATTTTATCAACAATTCCATATGCTCCACGACCAAGTACACAAAGTGTTTCTAAATCATCAGCTTCTACAACAAATGTTTTTTCATCTATAGTAATGGTAGTCCGTTTGTCTAAATTTCTTGGTGGAGTTCTGAAATAAAGCATCCATAAAATATATTTGAAAATAAATTCCACCTTACACCACACATATACATTGTGTAAACATCTTTCTAATGTAATTAAGATAATATGATGGATGTTTTCCATTTAGTGATACAAGTTCTATCTTTGACAAACATCATTCTATCTTTCGTGATTCAATGAATAACAAAGAATGCTTCCCATTTAGTGATAAAAAAAGATCTATCTTTATTATTCACTGAATACCAACAAAAAGTGAATAATGCTTATGTTGACTTATATTACAAAAAAGTTAACACCCAAATATAGAATGACACTTGATCAAATGGAAAATATTCAGAGGTAAAAATTTACACTATTTTTTTTTAATCTTATACACATTTTTCTTTGTAATTTTTATACATAAATACATAACGAACGCAAAAGATTACATATAGATATGACAACATTAATCACAGCATTCGACAGACATTGCGTTGATGTTTTACATACACTGGTGCAGGTGCTTCATCGGAGACTTGCAACTTCAGATTGCGTTTGCCACGACGTAAAGCCATGATACCGAGTATAATCGATAAAAGGTTAAGATCGCCACCCGCGCGAATTCGGCAGTATTACAGAGAAGTCAATGAGAATTCATGGCAAGTAGTGTCACGGGACGCAGTGCGTATGTGAGCTGGAAAAGCAAGAGGAATCGCTGAATCATACGATATATACGGTAGATCGGATAGAAACGGATGGATGTCTGTTTAGATTTAGGTTATTCCGCAAAAGAGAAATAAGTCGTATTGTTGGCACGCAAACCCGCATATGTGCGTCGCTATTGTCGCCAATTATATCGAAATGATAATCATACTTGGCTTATCATTCGCATAGCGCAACATATCTATTAGCGTCACTATACTGTCTGAAAACCATGCTATTTAGACAAAATTAAAAAATGTATGCGTAAAAAACTTATCCGAATCTCTAAACCTTATCGCACCCTGTTGTCTATATATTTTAGGACCCGTATTCAGAACGCGCTTACAACGATATTAGCGCGCTACATATTATAATTTACATCACGCATACTATAGAATTTTATAGATAAAAGCGCACTTTTATAAAGAAAAGCGCATTCTAAATACGGGCCTAAGTTTTTACAAAATTTAAACCCGTGGTGCAAAGGATAAGCTCAAATCCTCATATGGGCTTTGATACCGTACGCTAATTGGTGAAAAACGGATAATGAAGGTAAATTTTACTCCCACAACCAGCTTTTCACCAGTCAACGCTCTCTGTCAAAGTGCTATGTCTGTATGAGGATTGAGGATCCGGGCTAAAGCCCATGGCACATACAAAAACGTAAGACGTAATCAGTAAGCGAATTGCCCAATTACGGTAGAGACCGTAAGGCCAGTAGCGAATCCAATCTTAAGCTAGAAGCACATAGAAAACGTAAGGCTGTAAGACGTAATCAGTAAGGAAATCGTAATATTGGATTCGCTACTAGCTTTACAATTTCCTTAAGCCCATGGCATATACAAAAACGTAAGGCCATAAAACGTAATCAGTAAGCAAATTGTCCAATCACAGTAGAAACCGTAAGGCCAGTAGCGAATCCAATCTTACGATTTCCTTAGTGCTTACGTGTTACGACCTTATGTTTTTGTATGTGCCATGGGTTTAACATTAGGTCTGTTCTGTGACTGAACTAGTATACACTTTTAGACCTTGAAGTGAGATAGGTATATGTAGCGGATTGCTACATATAATAAATGTAGGTAATTGAGAAAAGCCAGATTCATAAGTAATAACGTTCGTTTATTAGCACATACAATATCTTATCGCGACAAATGTAACTCGATGATTCGTATGTGTTAGAGGTTGAAGAAGAACTAAAAAGAGAGTATGTCTAAATGGGAAATTCAGTATCGTGTTCGTGAGAGCGCGCCATCTGGTCATAGAGTGTTTGAGTTTAAACGAGTATAAGGCATGGTTGAAGTATAACTGAAAGAGTGTGAGAATGTATGTGTGCGTGTATGTGGTGTCTCCACAGTTTGATATTTGTTGAAAATGAGAAAGAGAGTTCTAGTGCAGTCTAGTGCAGGAACAGAAAACAGATCAATTGTGTGTGCCATAGTCACGGTCATGGAGAATAGAGACAAAGAGAAACCTGAGAGAGAATATGACGGCCCAAAACCTGTAATACTGCCGCGTACTACTGTCCTCTGACAAAGTGGATGTAAACTATATAGCAACGTCCACTTTTCTTAGGGTACATCGTCCATTTTTCAAGACTGGAGATGATAAATCGATATTTGGTTCATATAATCGTACTACATGTGCTACATCGTGCTACCAAATGTTTGAACCACTTTGTCAGAGGGCAGTAGTGCGCAGCAGCATTTTGCGGTTACAGGTTTTGGGCCGTCATGTCCTCTTTCAGGTTTGTCTCTTTTCGGCCTGACTGGATTTGCACCAACTTAGGTTAAAAATATTTCGCTATTGGTTGACGTTACACGCTCTACCAATAGGAGAAAACATCACAAAACTTCAACTCAGGTTACTGTAAACCCGAAAACGTTATCTGATAGAGACTAAGAAGACCGAACTAGAGTTTGAAAAGTGTGGTCAAAATCAGGTTTCTGAATTGGTATTAGTGGTGTTCGATACGCGGCGTTCGAATCGTAAAACTTCTCTCATATACGCTTACGCACACATAATCTAAGAGTAGAAATATTATTCTTTGACATTATGCTCTGACAATAACAGGAAGACTTAAATTTACATAAATTATCATAAAAACTGCATGAAAAATGGAGCATTCTTTATGTAAAATTGGTATGACCTACCATGCAAATTGCAAGAACGATGTCGTGGAATAAAAGCAACATCTCAATCGAACTAATTCAGATGATCACTTTTGAACAAGTTTTTTGACGGCCTTGTCCATATAAATCCAGTCTCCTTATGGCTCCTGCACACTGGACGCGGAAACGTTTGCCGCGCGGTAAAATGAGACGGTAACCAATGAACACATTAGGAGCTTATTGGCTACCATTTTGCCGCGCGGTAAGCGTTCAATGTGCAGAAGCCATTAGGATGCGAACAGTAACTAGGTAATTAAAAAACCGCATATCATGTGCCACAAACCGCGCTCCATGTAATATCAGCGAAAGAAATAGGCGGTACGTGATACGCAGTTTTCTAGTTGCTTAGTTAGTTACTATTAGTTACTGTACCGCGGACCGCGTACCGCGCTCCATGTAATCGCACCCGCAGTCTTTACTCTCCATGGTCACGGTGTAAGAAGAATAGGTGATACCACTCGACCATTTTTGCCCAAAAAAACTGTAACGAAATTGAAGCAGTTCAGACATGTAACACTAGAGGGCATAATGGTCTAAGACCTAATGGCCTTTGCAATCTTTCCAATTCACAGCTGTTCAATGACATTTCTTTTATAATTAAAATCTACAGCATGTAGATCCTCTTCCATAACTTCCAAGATCTTCCTAATTATTCCATCAATTATGTGTATAAATAAATGTACTAATAAATAATAAAATTATTTATTATACCCTAAAAATACCATGAAAATAAAACTTAAAGTGAATGTCAATAAAGCGTTAATTGGAGTATAAAAGAAAGTGTAAGGAAGGAATAACAGAAACGTAAATGAAATCCGTAAGAAGCGAAAATTGAAACGTAAAAGAAGCGTCAAAGCGTCTAAACATTAAAGAAACATAAATAAAAGTATAGATCAGTTTTTCGGTAAACACGAGCAGAATGCTCGTTGAATGTAAACGGAGCGTGATTAAGCAGTCTAGAGAATGTAAACGGAGCATTGTTGAGATCTTAGACGAACGTGAATAAAGTGTAATCGAAGCCCTTGGTAAGCAAATGATATTTTAAAATATATTTCATTCATTCGATAAATATTTAAAAAAAAAATGCTATGCTTTCTTCTTGGAGCCCTAGGGGCTCACTTTAAAAAATTATATCATTAGAACACAACTGAAAAATCTTTCAATGTTACGTCTTTTATCCTAGTCTGTGTGGTTTTTTAAATTCGAGAAGTTAGTTCTCGCTAAGTCCCTCTGGTAGCGGTGCCGCATACTATTCAACGACGCTTTGTTTACGTTCGCTATATAACTTAATAACGCTCTGTTTTAAAATAAATTTTTTTTATCTCTATATCCTAGAAGTATACACGAAGCGTATTTGAATGCTCCGTATACTTTTTGCTGAACATTTAGGAAGCGTAGACGAACCACTAATGAATTAAGTGTTTAAGAAGTGTATCAGTACGCTCCATGCATTCTTTGCGGAGTGTTGAAGAGCGCATGAGAAATGTTAAAGAAAAAAAAATTTTTAACGTGTGGGAAATGTGACAGATGGCACTCTTTACGGAGCGTGCCCTTTGGGGAGAGTTCGTGGAGCGTGTATGAATATTTAAAACCACTAAGAGTCAATGAAATGTTTAAGAAGCATTAAAATTCTTTGTTCACATTTCTTTAACGCTTCGACAAGCTTTATATTTTCATCAGAACTAGAAAGGATACGAGCAGTAGGAGTCAAGCGCAGAAGACGTCGCGCAAATAATACGAGGTGTGATCAAAAAGTAAGGTGACTTTTTGAATTTCGCGCGCTCTGTACACTCTAATTAAAAAAATTTTTTTTTGTTGTGTTGGTACACTCGTCACGATCATATGTTCACAGTTTTGACTATATAGCATGTGTTGTTTTTATGTGAGAGGCATAAAGGTTAGACTCGTGTTTGCGTGCTCGGCGATTTTTTGCTTTTGAAAATAATGGAGCAGAGAGTTTGTATTAATTTTTGTGTAAAAAATGGTATTAAGTGTTCAAAAACTCTTGAAATGTTGACAGTGGCGTACGGTGAGTCAACTTTGAGCAAAAAAAATGTTTATAAATGGTATAAGTTATTCCAAGAGGGCCGAGAAAATGTTAACGATGAACCTCGCTCTGGACGCCCCAGCACGTCAAAAACCGACGAAAATGTTCAGGAAGTGAAAGAAATTGTGTTGAAAAATCGTCGAATCACGATTAGAGAAATAGCTGATGATCTTAACATATCGTTTGGCTCATGCCAATCAATTTTAACGGATGTTTTGGGTATGACACGTGTGTCAGCGAAATTCGTTCCAAAACTGCGTTCCAAAACGTCGTTACTAGTGAGTAGTTTTTTGGCCAAAAACAATACTATCATCATGCCTCAGCCACCGTATTCACCAGACTTGGCCCCCTGCGACTTTTTCCTCTTCCCAAAATTGAAAAGGCCCATGAAAGGACGAAGATTTGCGACGATTGAGGAGATTAAGGCTGCATCGCTGGAGGAGCTCAAGGCAATACCCAAAAGTGCATTTCAGAAGTGTTTTGACGACTGGAAAAAGCGCTGGCACAAGTGCATTGTATCAGAGGGGGATTATTTTGAAGGGGATAACATAATTTTGGATGAATAAATGAATATTTTTTTATAAAAATGAAAAGTCACCTTACTTTTTGATCACACCTCGTATACCTATGAAGTATAAAACTTCTTTATTCATTGAACCGTGCTTACATGTTTCGACTCACTTTTGAGCCTTCCTCAGAGACAATATAAACTAACATATATAAAAACTATGAATAAAAGTTACTCTATCATGGTGAACTCCCCTACATCGAGAATTTAAATGTCATTACATTAGTAATAAATACGTATGGAAAGCGTAAGACCGACGCCAAGATTAACGGTCAAATCGCAGACAATTTTTGCGAATCCGTAATTACAAAATCTAAGAAACGGCACGCGACGTTCAGGGGTAGATTCTGAGTGGTCCCGTGGCGACGATGCATGCGCGCCGTCTTGATGCATGAGACGTGTGTTTTCCCATAAATCTTAAGATCATAAAATTTTGGAGAACACTTTCCCATACTACAGATTCCTGTCAACATCTTTTCCTCCCCCCAAATCTTGA